TCTCTTTGGTGTTAATTCATTCTGTTTTTTTTTTATTGTTTTTGAATCATGTGCTGTGAGTTTTTGTAGGACAGTAAGATTCATTAGCATTTTTAAGATTATATAGTTCAATCATTTATTATACGTTTACATTTAATCTTAGTAGTCTGGATGGCTACAAACTAAAGTTACGCTGTGACTTTTGAAGAGGAAAATTAAATGGCTGTATCACCTAGAAATTATATCTACATATTTTCTCATTTATAAGCATTTGGATCTTTGAAAAAACAAACAAAAAAATTATTGCATTTCTAGATTCGTCCATATTAGGGCTGCATGGCATGCAGGAGAAATGTGATCATGGCTGCATGCATTACATATAAGATTATGGCACAAATCAATTTATTTTTTGTATTTAATTTTTTTAGTAGATTTAAATCCAGGAAATGATGAAACATCTGGTATGCCTGGCTCTTGTTTTCCTGGGTAAAGAAAACATCCCTCAAACTTCTCAAAGTCTTGCAATTCTTGTCCCTATAAATTTTTTGACCTTACGTGTGAGTTCAACATTGTGAGTTCAACATTGATTTTCATAGCAAACATTCGTTCAACAGCTGAATTAAATTGTCTGAAAATGAATAAGGAGAAAATATAGATTACTAAGATAAGCTTTACATGCATGTATGAAGGTACTTTTAAATCAGGATAACTGCATGAGTATTTTCCATTAATGAACCACTCTACTCAGGGCTGTGATTTAATTAGCAGTGGACCTGACAGCCATTGCTGCTAAGAGCAAATTTGAGCCGAAGTTATTTTTGTTTTTGTTACTTTAGAGTTAGTCACTCCACTCTGCCCCCTGCTGTTTACATTTTAGAAATGTTTTGCATCTCAGCTCTTCCGATTGGACTATATGGCTGCATTTACACTGACAGTCACTGACACAGATCGGACATTGTTGCATGTGTGTATGTCAAAACACTTTTTTGGCATTGAATTTAAGCCATTTGCAAATTTCACTTTCAAATTTGCCTTTTGACTCTCTAGTTAAGTCTTAAGATTATTGGATCTGTGCATGTTGCTTTGCAGTGTGAGCCTATGAGTCCTTTTTTTTTTTTTTTGTAGACTATTGTAGCTATTAACCCATGGTCTGCAAGTAAAGAAAAAGACACTAAAGATTAAAAAGTTTGAGGTCGGTAAGATTTGTTTTAATGCTTTTGAAAGACGTCTCTTATGCTCACGATAGCTGAATTTATTTGATCAAAGATACAGTAAAATTGTGACTTTATAATGTAAAATAAATGCTTTCTATTTTAATATTTTGTATATATCATATTCAAAGTTCAAAAGAACAGTGTTTGAAATGCTTCAAGACTTACAAAAATATTTTGTAGCATACGTATGTCTTTACTGTCACTTTTGATCTATTTAATGTGTCTTGTAGAATAAAATAATTAATTTCTTTAAAACTAAGTCTTACTGACCCCAAAAATTTGAACAATAGTGTAACTTTTTACTTTCAGTCAAAGAATGTAAGTAGTTGAGTATTGTAATGTGCTGTCAATACCACTGCTAAGAAAGTGAATGTAATATAGAGCTTGAATTCTAACCTTATGCACATTGTATGCACGTAGGAGCATGTGGACCTATAGAAACCAGAGTGATAGTCAATTGTCCCCAATTACAATTATGGTTCGATAGAGTAAAACATTTCTATCATTAACAGTACGTCCAGTTTTGGCACATTTCTATGAATGTAGTGAACATTTCTTACTTTAAGTTCAGGAGCTATTTGCTTGTGCCCTGCATTTGATTTATAGAAATTGGTGAACTTTTCTGTCTTTTATCAAATAGCTTTTTCAACATGATTCAGGTATTATAGTTTGTTGAATTATTTTTAGTTTTTATTTTATTTTATTTTTGTCATTTTGGTGTATCCACTTCTGGCTATATTCTTGCAATGATTTATTCTACAAGTACTGCAGGTTTGCTTTTGGAGCACTTAGGTTTATTCCTGAATCTTTTGTCTGTGCTTACCTTTGGGTGTCTCTTTTCAAGGTTTAACTTGACCTTTAATTGCCTGTTAATGCCTCAACGCATTCATATAAATGGCACTCCTAATGATGCAAACTATTACACAGTGCCTTAATAGGTAACATCAGCTCTGTGCAGCTGTGTTTCTGTATGACATCCAGACCACATAAATGCCTTGGGTTTCTGTTCTGGGGTCTGGAGTGAATAACACTGTCTGTGTGCCATGAGTTCTGTGAGCTCAAGATGAGACGCAGACAATGCCGTTTGTGTCGTTTTCTCTTCCTTTCTTGAAATCCCATTTAAAATCCTGCCATGTTACTCTGCTTTACTTCACTGTGTGATTCAGGCTCTTCTGTCCTTTGCATTTCTTTTTCAGTCCATTTAATGATTAAAATGTATTACATTTGCTTTCACCACCCAGTATCTCCTGTCAAAACGACGAATACCCTGAAATACCACCCAATACTAAACTAAACTCCATTTTTCCATTTGCAACTAAGGTGAACTATTTTGTAGTAAACAACAACCATCTTAGTATTAACCATAAGAATCCATTCTCATTGTCATTTTGAGAGCAATCGAAACATGGCCCATTAAATGTTTTTATTTGCATCCTATGGTTTTAAAGGTGCAATAGGTGATTGTCTTCAGAAACATTTTTTGTTATGCTGGTTGAAAGTCTCTTCACATCCCGATAGCAATCATTAAGTTCCAATTCCCAATTCCAGTCCTCGCGCCCACCTGCATATTTTGCATGTCTCGCTTAGTTAACACACCCGATTCAGATAACCAGCTC